CGTGCAGTTTTTTTCTATCAGTCCAAACTGAAGAAGCCAAACCCAACACCCAATAGCGAAACACGTTATCATAAAAGCTGATTTCGTCTCTGTCTCTCTCACTCTGTAGATATATATATATATATATATATATATATATATATATATATATATATATATATATATATATATAATCCTTTTGCCTCATATGGAGAATATTTAAACAGATGACGAAAGTACTCATCTGTCTTTTCAACTGCAGTGTGAAAAAAATAATTTATTTGATTATTATATATATATATATATATATATATATATAAAAAGTGAATAGGCCTGACGATTGCATCTAGCATGAAAAAGCGTGTCGCCTCTGAGTGTTCTCCAATGTTCACTTTTATATTTATGCTTACACACGCTCTATCTCTGATATAGATCACTTTATCCCATAAATATCGCACACCTTAAAACTATATTTTTTCATATATATATATATATATATATATATATATATATATATATATATATATATATATATATATACTAGTAGCAGTAGTCCAAACTTTGTACATATATATATATATATATATATATATATATATATATATATATATATATATATTAATAATTACTTCTGTCTTTTGTCGGATACTTTTCATATTAATCAAGAGAGCCCTTTTCGCATAACCATCTGAGAGTTTATGGCTTTCCTTCTGTAAGTAGAAGAAATGGCTGCTGGGTATACATCTAAATATCTATGATTTGTACTGCTTAATCCTTCTTTTTTGTCCTTGATTGACGCTGAAGAGCGAGGAGTAACTTGTTTTACCTCCCTATCCACCTCCGTATGGTGACTTTTTTTTTCTTCTTGTTCTTCCCTACCCACTTTATACTAATATTTTTAAATAGTTCGAATTTCACTAGGTACCTTATATTTGTGGGCGAAAGTAGTCGAAGTCAACAACAGCAACAACACCAAGAATCAACATTGCGAAAGAAATTATAGAATGGAGGAGTAAACAATTTTTACTCAAAATCTTATGACTAATAATGATTCAATTACTAATAGACAAACGTTTTCATAGTAGTACAATAATTTATTGCTGTAGTAAAAACTGACATTTTAAACATATCAGGCTATAAAGAAAGAAAGACATTTTTCTGTATTAATAAAAACCTGCTCAGTTCTGTATCTGTCTATATTTCTGAGATGAGGTATTATGTACAATATTTACATTGTTCGGGCTATCATCCACAACTTTGTTACCATATTTATCACAACATGGCACAGTGGATGTAGACGTTAGTTACATCCAGTGACAGGACCCAAAGAGTGTGAGTTCAATACCTGGTTAAGGCAGTGGAGAACTTATAGAGGGAAATTAACAGGACATAACTGATAACTGACATCAATTAGAAATGGCACATGGAACTAGAAAAGTCTACCCCAGCGAGCGAAATAAAGGGTTCAGTTCGACATTCAACCACCTGAAGAAGGCAGGGGCGTACAATGGCCGAAACGTTGTGATAATTATGGCAACAAAGATGAGAATGGTAGTCCGAACAATGTAAATACTGTTCAGTTCTATTTGAAAATCCTAGAATGAACATGCATCAATTCAACAGAGCCATTCCTCTCTACACAGGGTGACTTATCCTCCTGAATGTTATTAGGATTATGTGTAAAGCATTGTCCTGAGGTATAAGATGGTTGACATCTCCAGATTTCGATATCAGTAAATGACGATAAATATTATACACTAGACTACCGTTGGGTCAATGATTGTTTAAAGAAAGCTGAAATATAAATAATAACTCTACAAACAACTGGATGAAACAGCAAAGCGGGATCTCTTTGTGTTTGTCTTTAACTTAAAAATATTTTAATTAAAAAATTGTCTGTTTGAAGAAGGTTAAAATAAAAATAATGTATAAACAACTCGAATTTTTAAATCTTATTCACTTAAAACATTTTTTAAATCAGATTAATTTTAAAAAAAAAACTTTCAATATGCCATAAATATTTTAAAATCATATTCACTTGAAAACATTTTTTTTAAATATGCCAAAAAATATTTTAAAATATTTTTTAAAGAAAGCTGAAATATAAATAATCACTTTATAAACAACTGAACGAAACAGCAAAGCGGCATCTCTTTGTGACTGTCTTTAATTTAAAAAAATATTTTAATTAAAAATTGTCTGTTTGTAGAAAGTTAAAATAAAATACTTACTGTATAAAAAAAACCCCAAAAAACTCTTTCTTTAAAATCTTATTCACTTAAACCAGATTAACTTAAATCATTATGCGCCAGACATACGAGGGGCATACAATCAGAGTAAGGTGGAAAGAGAGAGGTGGAAAGAGAGAGGTGGAAAGAGAGAGGTGGAAAGAGAGAGGTGGAATGCGTAAGGCCGACTGAGAGAGGAGGAATGAGTGAGGTTAAAAGAGATAGGTGGAAAGAGAAAGGTAGAATGAGAGAGGTGGAAAGTGAAATGTGGAATTAGGTGGGGTGGAAAGAAACTTAAATCATTATGCGCCGGACGGACGCACCACACAAGCACGCACGCAATCACAGATTTTTAATATTACATAGATGTGAAATTTAGGTGGAAGGTAAGATATGGCCTATTTTCAAAGTCGATGCCTCTTTTCAATTTGAACGCGGCGAAATTTACGATATATGGTACCATCTTTAAATACATCTATCTATTCATCTCTCTCAAGAGACATCTATTCCCCGTCGCACACATTAATATCAAAAGCTCTGATTATTTCCTTGACGCGTTTCTTAGATCTCATTTGTGGTTTGCTATTGTGTACGTTTATTCGCAATGAGCTTGCCATATTGGAAGCCGCACTCCTGTACCCACATAAAAAGTCCAGTTCAACTCATCTGATTCAAAACAATCATGGATTCAGTACTTGTTGAGGAAGAGAGTTCCAGAACAAACAAATAAAAAGTAAAAATGAAAAACGGGTCAGCTGACCGGTTTCGTACGAAACCGGTGAGCTATCCCGTTTTTTTATTTTTACTTTTTATTTTCATGAGTGGTAATAATAAAACCAATTTTTATCTGTTCATAGCAGTGATATATATATATATATATATATATATATATATATATATATATATATATATATAATGTTATCTTGCGCAAAGAAACCATCACCACTGAGTAGGATTATAAAGTGTTACAAATGTCCCGTGGGAAGCTTCTCTACATGAATCACTTGTTAAAACGAACTTCATTTTCACTGGTGATTCTTGAAAATTACACCAAGCATACTCCAGATTATAATAGAATCATCTCTAGTTCGTACAGAAGCTTACCGTCGCAACCTTTTGCAGTCTCCAACACAAACGAACTAGAACGTCCACCATAAAAACACTCAAAAAAAAAAGATTAATCTGAGTTGGCAAAAACTCAAATCTTTTGCAGTTAAGGACGGTGTTGTTTGCCTCACTTGAAATATAGTAATCGATCATATGATTATATTAGTTATCATTTTAATGCTTTCCGACTACGAGACACTACTGGAGGTCTTGCGTAGTGCCAAATATACACTAGTGGTCTCATGTTTGGTTAAATAGCTGTACCTATGGTAGGTACTAACGTAAGTACAGCTATTTACCCAAACATTAAAAGACGATAATAAGAATTTTTAACTTAAAAGATTTGGCATGTTTTAAGATTTAATGATATATAATTTTAAACTTCTGTTATTGAAAATTATATATTAAATATGCTTCAACAATCGTGCATTAATGTTTATAGTTTTATGAATGCTTTCTTCTACTCGATAACTGATGAGCCACAAACATACAGAATTAGGGCGATTTAGTATTTAAGATTCAATATTTTGGGGGCTTTTCCTACAGTAATAGGGGTTCAAAGTCAGAATTTTACATATTCAGCACAGAAATATGAAAAATCAAAAATGTAATTTTTAGATTTTTTCAATAACATGGAGGGAAGTATATGTGTATTTATATACTCATATTTCCGTTCACTATTTACATTATTCGGACTATCGTCCTCATATTTGTCGCCATATTTATTACAACGTTTTGGCCGTGGTTGGAATGTCGAACTGAACCCTTTATTTTGCTCACGTGCCATGTTTAATGGATGTCAGTCATCAGTTATCTCCCTTTAATTCTCATCTGCAAGTTCTCCATTGGCTTAACCGGGTATTGAACTCACACTCTTTGGGTCATGTCACTGAATACACCCAACGCCTTTATCCACTGTGCCATGTACCCGTGTATGAATTTCTGGGTATTATAAACCTAATGTTTTTTTTCTTTATCAGTGCGTTTATTGCAACTTTTTCTGTTATCAATACATTTTTTAACCAGAGCTCATATTGCAATTTTTTGTTAGTATCGCTTTTCTCTGGCAGTCCTTATTACTGGTTCCCATATTGTGTTCAGTCCTATGCTTGGTCGGCTCAGGATATAGACAGATACTCATATTTTTTATTTTGCACTTTTTCAGAATAGTACAGGGTAGACATAAAACTATTAAATTCGTAATCCTACAAATTTAGAGGGAGGGAACCAACTAACCACTCTTCTGCTTCTTCTGTATGGTGGACACTTGCAAACGTCGAGCTGGCAAGAATGCGATTGCTATCATATATCCAGAAATTCTATCATCCATTGTTCCAGTGTTCCACTGCCTTGAGCTCCCCCTACCCACTCTTCCAAAGCGGGAGCTGCCGTTTTCAGAAGAGAACAGTAATTCAGAAGACGATGAAGTCATTGAGTCAGATTAAAGAGGCTCAACTGAAGAGGGAAACCAATACTACCCGAAAGAAAAAGACCTCAACAACCTGATCAGAGATCTTGAGCTTTTGACCTCGAAGCAGTGGAATTTGTTAGATGAACGTGTGCAAGACGTAAGCCAAAGACAGTATCACTAGGATTTTTCATGATTTTTCACTCGTCAAAATGGGCTTTGCTTCTGGCACAATATGATCGGTCTGTTCGAGGCAAATGGAATCGCTTGCAATCCCAACGAGTGGCACCTCTTCGTCGACAGTTGGGCTTTGCTTCTGGCACAATATGATCGGTCTGTTCGAGGCAAATGGAATCGCTTTCAACCCCAATTGATTGCTTTGTATAGTTGATTGGTTTTCGTTCTTTTCGAACCCAGGTAAATGCCAAGAGTTGGCATACTGATTTCATAACTTGCAAACATTCAACATTTACCTGCTATAAATCAGGATAAACATAACGGCCAGAAAGAAAGTGGTCTGAATGAATCGATAAATAAGTAGAAAGCAGACGTTGCCTCAGAAATACTAACCAAACATTCCAACCGCCTCCTTCCTGCAGTGACCCGGACAGGCCGGCAAACATTAAACGGCTTCCCAACTGTAATCAAACAGACTGAGACTGCGTATCTGATCAATTCATAGTTCGAATCCTTTTTACCGTCGACTCACAAATCTGTTAACCTTTACGCAAACATAAAATCATTGCTTTCTGCATGTCGAAAAGTACGTTCAGTAAACATTTCTAGGTTGAATTACCTCCCTTGCCATCTGCTACTTTGTCTGCCATCATATTCAAAACTGGGAAACTACAATGAAATATTAAACAGCCAGACCTTATGGGTTGAATTAAAGAAAAAAAAACTTCTTCGATAGATTTGGTCGTGGTGGTTTTAAATAATTTTTTAAAGAAGACATTTAGATATTTGTATATAGATTTATTCATACACATATGTTTAATTTTGTTTCATAACCTTTCGTCATCTTTGAGGCAGCTTCATCATTCATTCCTCCCAGAACTTGGCACTTAACTGGGTGATGAACTGGTCAAAGTGGTTTTACATGCTTCCAGAGAATCGGAGTTCTTCCCATTAAATGTATTTTATTGGGATCAAAATAAATAGTAATTGAAAGGTTCAAGGTCAAGTGAGTAGATCGAATGTAGTTGGACATCCCAGCTAAGCTTTACCAATTTCTACGAGGTCTGCAATGAGACGTGATGTCTGGTATTGTCCTGGTGGAAGACAACATCCTTCTAATTGCCGAATATTAAGTGCTTTTCTTTGTTGCCTTTAATTGGTCCACTTGAGAAGAGTACTTTGAATTCAATATCCAATTTTGTAGAAGGAGGTCATGATGTCCTTCTAATCCTTACCAGATACACAGCATGTCTTTTTTATGCAGCCCAGCCTTTAAAGAGGTTAATAGTGTCTTATTTCCCTAGGAATCCCATGTACTTCACATTGTTCTAAACAATTCATTTTCCATCACCTGTGATCTTTCCTTTCAAAAATAGGTCATATCTGCTGACATAAAATCACAGACGGAAATGAGGTCTTTCAATTTTTTTCAGGAGGTGCCCAAACATTATAGCTATTCACATATCCAAGCATTTCCAAATACTTTACAATGCTCATTTGAAAAATGTGGGGTGTCTCTGTACTCTCCCGTGCCATTTTTCCGTCATTATTTTTAATCAGCATTTCAATCGGGCCATCATTAGCAATTGCAGGCCGGCAAGAATGTTCTTCGTCTTCCAGATCAAAATTACCACTTCTGAACTTAGTGAACCACGTAGAAACAATATTCACCATCTCCAGGCGTCTTCAAACCCATATGGATATCGAATTATTCTCCAACCTTCAACCTCTCTTTCACAAGTGGGATGTGGCAAGCCTCTCATTGCTCTATCGGTACTTCCATGGAGAGTGCTCGGACGAGGTACATTCTCTGGACCCGCCAGTTCAAATCTTCATGGCAAGGACACGCTATGTCACTTATATTGTAACAAACTACCGACATTCCCTTCGTATTTCATCGATGAGAAATAGGTTCCACTTGAACAGCTTCTTTCTGTGAGCCACTGCTCTGTGGATGTGACTTACCTGATCACTACAATCTTATCTTCCCTTCTTTATGTGCACAAAATGCCTCTTAACGTAGCCCTCTATCCCGTGACGCTATCAGTCCTTTTATATGGTGAATCTTGTAAAAAAGAGATTTATTCAACCACGTATGTGTCGTTTAGGTTCAACAACCTTCTGTTATCTTTGAGGCAGCTTCAAGATTCCATCGCCCTCCACTAAACGTGGCATCTTTCTGGGTGATAAACTAGCTTCACTGGTTTTTACAGCCTTCCAGAGAAGAGTATTTAAGAGTATTAAATGTATTTCGGCGGAATCAGAATAAATGCTCATCCGATGGGGCAAATTCAGGTTAGAATGGTGGATATCTCAGGCAATGATCTAACAGTTTCTATCAGATCTGCAAAGCCACAAGATGTCTGACGTTGTACTGACTGAAGACTACAATCTTCTGATTGGCTAATGCCGGATTTCTTTCATCGATTGTTGCCTTTAATCACTCCAATTGGTAAGTGTATTGTCTGAATTCTACGTTTGATTGTGCGACAGGAGCTCGTAATGCACAATGATTTTCTAAACCCACCAGATATATGACACCACGCCGTTCGTATGTAAATAAGCTTTTTCAATTGCTAAAGGTTGCGCACTTCGTTTTCT